TAAATGGAGATCGTATGCCAAGTACTATAATCTTTCCCTGTTATGGGGGAGACTAGAAGACTGTAGGCAACGCTAAGGTGTAAGTTGTGTGACACCATGTCTGTCAGTGAGGTGTCTGAAAGCATGGTCTGCGACCCAGGATCCTGCCAGGGGAGCCAACAGCCTTCTACAGTGAGGCTGTCTTGCTCATTCCCTCAAGCAATGGCCTCAAGAGTTGGGATTTTTTATGGGACTCTCTTGAAACCCTCACAGAAGACTAACACCTGAAGTTAACTAACGGTTGCATCCCTGTCTGTGATGGTCTTTTGTTACGTGGTATGGTTATTACTGTTTGTATGAACACTGTACTTCCAAACGCGTGAAGGTTAATTACATAGCTGCTTCATTTTGTGTCAAAACCCCCACTGAAGGTGCTCGTCAACCTAAACAGGCAGGTAGTCAGTGTCTGCATAATCACACTGCTCACAGCAAGTAGATGCTGTGAGATTAAGAATATGGTGAGTGAATAGAACGTAATATAGTAAGAATAAAATAGAAAGTCTACTTTAATTTCACTGTTCACCTTTTCTACCCTAACTTAGAATAAGTACTGCCTATGTTTCTAATACATTTTCCAATGCTAATTCTTCCCATCAGGCAAAGTTACTTCCCACTCTAATAATGTACAAATTAATCCATTCCAGTACAAAACTAGATATTATATTGCAGAGAGGCAAAATCATGGGACACTGAGCCATGAAAGTTTTCACATGAAATTCAATAATAAAGACATAGCATATTGTAATTTTATCCCAGAGGAAGCTGACTTTGAAAACTTAATTCTGGTGTATTTAAATAAATTTTTTACTGTTATTTTTAAATGTTATTAAAATTTAATATATCATCTGGCACATCTTTACAATGCCTGATCTCAGTGATCTTATGAGATTTTAACAGGCTGAAAATTCTGCCAAGCTCCAGCTGTAAAGCTTCCATCATATTTTGAAATGTGCCACTCTTCTCCAAAGCTATAGAACTATTCTCTGAAGCTATATTATATATTTATTTGTACTCAAGATCTGTTACTCATTTCTGTTGGAGTGTGGTGCCCAATATTCAATAAAAATATAGTTTTCAGTATATGTTTAAGAAAAAACAAGAATAAGACAGTTTAAATGCGAAAGATTACATCTAACTTTAAAGGTAGGGTACTGGTGTTACATAGCTAAAAAATGCAAAGTATTTACATATTTGTCCTACTATCCAAAAAATAACTTTGCTTATGCCTAAGGGGGAAAACCAGCATGAATTAAAAGTGACAGACTTTAGGAAGGAATCAGTCCTCTCCATGTATACCATTTCTTTCCACAGATTGTCTAATTTGGTGTGAACATTGGTTTAGAATTGAGTGCAGGAAGACTGTGGCAGAAGGGAAATCTGTTATCTTGACACTATCTGATAAAGTCAATTGTATCCATGGTTCTCTCCAAAAAAAGCCATTATCAGAGGAATTTTCTTGTATTGGCTTGAGACTATGGTGCCTCTACTACTGAAAATGAAATGTTAAACAGCACATCCTCATCACATTTCACTTCTGGAAGGAGAAAGCCTCCTGGATTCTTCCGGGGGGGCAGGGGGTCAGCACTGATAATTAGCAGTGCAGTGCATGGAACTGCTATTTAACAAACCTCGCATCTCTGTTTCCAGTGAAAGTCCTCTTGAGAAGTATAGGTGTTCACTGGGGTTCGAAGGCATTCAGCACGTTTTGGGAGTGCCTCAGCACCATTTAGAAGAACACCAAAAGAACGCATCTCCCTTTTTTAATAAAAGGTGTGTATCTTCATGGTGCTAGGCACTTCCTACAAATGAAAATTTACCTCTCTTTGAAGTGAAATCTAAAACTAGTGAGAAATTCATGGAAAACTGCTCAAATTTGTACAAAATCACACCCTCTTAAGGCTAAGCAGGGAGATTGACAAACCCAAGGTCAGATAAATGGCAGGACTGGCATGGCACTCATGATTTACTACCCATCATTACTGTTCTTCCTGCGGTGTACAACCATGTAACACCTGCAGGGCTCTTCGCTCATTTGTTATTTTAGTTTAGCCAGCACCTTGCAGGACCAGAAGCTCTCTCTCACTCTAGGTCTGTCAGAAAGCCAGTTGTTTCTATCAAGTTACTCAGGTTGTGTGGTCGCTGTGGGTATTTAGAAAAAGAGTAAAGCTGCAAAAGCCTCCTGACAGTAAAAGACAAAGTGTCACCGCACTAACCGTGTGAACAAATGTACAAGTGAAAAGAGCTTGTCCCAGACTTAATTAATTTCTCTGCTTGTTTTTTTCTTGGGTATCTCATATAAATGCTAAGGTTTCTGAGTGGCTTCACACATTCAGTTAGTGGCTCGAGTAATGTCTATTGATTCAACCCCCTCCACCTCAATTTTCATTCCACCCACTCCACCCAAATCAGAAGTGATCCTAAAGGAAATTAAAAATGTTACAGATATACAGTGAAACTGAGAAATAATGCAGTAACTGAAGTACATATAGTGGTTGGTAGCACTATGAGCAAGACTTGAGATTTTGTCTCAGTTTTTACTTTACTGTGGAATTTAGAGGCATGGCATGGTTTCTTTTTTTTAATAAGATGTACTAGGGTTCTATTCAGCAAGGAAATACTTGAATGTGTTTGTGGGTACAGAGATGCATGAACTTAAAAATAACTGGAAAAAAATTGAATAGTCTCAGCAAATAGCTGGATTAGCATTTAACTCCCATAGATTTTGGTAGCTGAAGAGCTGTGGTAGCTGAAGAGCTGTCCCTTTGTTTATCAATATTTTGAGGTATGAAAATGCTGAAATTGAAGTACAGATCTTCAATTTAATCTTTAATCTTCTTAAATCTTAAAAAAAAAAAAATCTTTAAGTATGGTGATATCAACAGAAGTTTGAGTTGTGCTACTGCATGGGATAGTTAATAGCATGGCCTGGGTTTCACAATCCCTCTTAAGAACCTGGTGGCCCTAAGGACACAGGTGTGGCTTCAGACCTGCTTTGTCTAAAACAAAGCAGAGCTGCAGAGGCACAGCCCTCATTCCCAGGGGGATGTGCTGTGTCCAGGGCTCCAGCCTTGTGCTGCCCCTTCCCCAGGGCAGCCCCAGCCCATGGCCTTGCCTGGACACTGGTGAAAAAACAAAGACTGCTGGCATCAGGGATGGAGGAGCTGTCGTTGCCAGTCTGGTTAGTGGAGTTTTCTCTTACACAGGGCAGACGCTCCACTGGTCTTCTCTAGTTCCTTTAAAGTAATTTTGCTCTGCTTAGGCAAGATATTGTGGCCCGAGCAAATCAAATAATTCATCCATAAATGTTTAGAGCGGGTTTTATGTGTACATAAATGCAAATGCATATATAAAAATATGTATATACATTTATATGAATGAATATCTACATCTCTATCATTTTATAATATATAGAAATGCTATTTTAAATTTGTAAATATTAAACAACAGGATCCTTGATATAAGCATTCCGTAGCCAAAAGGTGCAGTTTAATTAAATGGGAATATTTATATAAGTGAGAGCTTGAGCATCAAGTCCAAATATAAAGTAGTTTTATTTTACAATCTTCAGTATTTAAATATAAATAAAAAGCAGCATACAGCTACCATTTGTAAAATGTATCTAAGAATGGAATAAATCTTAATACATATCATAATAATGGCTGGAATGGCTTCCCTAAGGAAGATGGCTCATAACGAGTATTTTGAGTTTCCTCTATACTGTGAAATTGTTTATTTAGGAAAATCTCTACATTAAGTCTGTTGAAAAACTGTCACTTATGTATAGGAATGCAGCAGACTAACACAGTTAAATGTATAGTTAAATGTATATAGCTAAGCTCCTAGTAGCACAACTTCTATATTCTTTCACACCTTAAACAACCCCAAGTTTGTAATGCCTGGTGTAGGTAACTTAATGAAAAAGATTGCTTAACATGAACAGATTAAAAGACAATTTAACTGATGGCCACAAACAGAGCTTAGAGTTTGTCATGACTACAAAGATTTTCTGTCAGGGTATAAAAGCAATTAATCAGTATGCAGAAGGTATTGCCTGCCCCATAGAGATGCTAATTTTGTGACACTTTGGAAACTCATGTTCTACATTTACTGTTCACGCTAGATGGAAGCTAACCAGCCTTAGCTTGAGCTAATGAAATCAAAAGACTGCAAAATATCACATTTTCTTATCCCTTGCAGTCTAATTTTGAGATCTTTAGTTTCTTTCTGTAAGTTGTTTGACAACCACAGGGCTGACTGACTATCATGAAACACAATTGTCCTAAAGACTGGAAAGTTATATTTATGCAGAACTGCTGTAGCCAGTTTATCTGCAGAAAATAAAGGGCCTGTCAGTGTCCTGCTCAAGTATTTTTGAAAAATGACAAAAAAACCCCAACAACCAATTAAAGAAATTGTAGTATAGCAGAACAGAGATCAAGTGTTTCAATATGTTATCACTGGGGACTTTTATTTTGGTTTATTTTTTCTTTTTTTTTTCCCCCCCAAAATGCTATTAAAAATGTCTGTATGCATAGTTTACATATAGCAGACATATTTAGATAGAATATTCTATTATAGATACTGTTACCAGTAGCCATTTGAAAGTTCAGGTATACCTCCCTGCTTACTCTAAGTTAAGACCTAATATAGAATCCGTTCCTATTTAAAAAAAAAAAGGCACTAAATAAGACAGCAATTTCAACAATTTGTAACCACAAAATGTTCTGGAAAAACAAGAAAAGCAGAACAGCTACTACATTTTTTTTTTTTTTTCCATAGCCCTCTCTTAAAAGCGATCTCTGCAGTCATTTTGTTTTAAAATCCTTGGAGAGACTAAGCCACCTGGTTAAACATATTCCGCTACAGCTGTACAAAAAAAAAAAAGAATATCACAGCAGTTAGAGTAGCTCCGTTTGATTTCCCACCGTCGGAGTGGAAAGCGTGTAGCCGTTCTGACTCACCTAAAGCCGAGTCGCAGATGAGCTGCTGCGGATGAGCAGGGGCACAGCTGCACGCCTCCACCAGCTCCTGAATTCTGTGGGTCAGAAGTAGAAGCACGGAAAACAACACGGTACTAAGTACAGGATTCATGTTGCCTTGAGCACAGCTTAATCGGTCAGCCAAGAGAAAATGCTTTCTTGCTGTTGGTTTTGTATCTAAACTTCCTAATGGCTATCTGATTCCTTCTGTGTGCAGTTCAATTTCGGCAGACTTGGACGGTTTAGGAAAGCCCTCTAATGCTCACTCTGAGTATACGCTCATGTTAACTGACTTCTAATTTCCCTGACATAGGACCCTCTTATTTATGGCCCTGGCACTAACTGCTAACTCCGCCTTCCTTTAAGGAAAAAGCCCGTCATTGGTGAAAGTTATTGTGCCAGGAGAGAGGTTACCTTAGTAAGCGTTGCAATGTTGCTGTTATGAGTCAGTAGAACTATTAATAATCAAAAGCCCTCACAAAAACATCTTTTACAAGTATCTGAAGCTGATTTTATGATCTTTAGCAGAAGAAAGATTTTCTCTTTTTCTAGTCAATTTCCTCCCAGTTCAAATTTAAAAACTAGTTCTGCTACCTTCTCTATTTTGGTCAAGTAAACAAAGCTGCCCTTTTTTAAGCTCTGTTTTCATTTGCAATCCCTGATCTTCCCCTGCACTTGTGTGCATCTTCTTGAAATGACGTCCCTGTTTGCAGGCTGGACAGAACTTCATTCATGAAAACGCAACGTTTCAATGCTCTATTTGTGAGCCTTGAACAATTGGTAGTTGCAAGGAATAATGAATTAAAAATAAAAGCTGCAATAAAAGGCATTTTTTTATTATTTCATCACAGTTTTAATTTAAAATAACAAGGACAAATATACCAATGGCATATGCTGGAGGCACGGCTCTTTCTCTACGTTCCTTATTCATGTAAGCCCTAATCAACACAGATCCGTATCTGTATTTTCTGGCTCATGTTATACATGGAACAGAGACATAAATACAAAAGTTTGGAAATCTTTGTCAACTTCAGATCTTTTGTTGCCGTAGCAATCTGGATATGTGCAACATGTATACACCCTCTTTATACAAAGAAGTTGTTTCATGAGGGAGCAACATAAGGTTTGATTAGAGAGTAGTAAAATACACATACAGATTGACAGGCAGGACAGAACTGCTTAAGGATTGCATATTTTGTCACTTCACAAATCAAGCTTAGGAATTGAAAATTCATTAACACAGTTTGAACCATTTCAATCCAGACCCGTGGAAATGTATTTTCTTGAGGTTTAGATGTACACAAAGTGGCTTGTTATCTTTATATAGATGTGTACACATTTCACAGCACCAGATTTATTTTATTTTTGAACAGTAAGAGGTCAGTTTTACAACTATGAGTGCTCTGCTGCTTCTTTTTTTTGCCTTCCATCCCCCCCCCCAAAACCTCTGTCTTTAAAAAAAGAAAAAAACACCACAAATATTTAGAATTATTAGTATTGGGTCTCATGTTCAGACTGTAGATCTACTTCAAAACTGAGCCAGGAATGTTGTACATTATGTCCTGATTTAGTTCAAGCAGCCATACTTTGATTTTTATTTTTTCAGTCTGAATTTTTGGCTTCAAATTGTAAGGTTGGGTCCAAGTCCAGGACTAACAACTGAAACCTGAAAATAATTTAGACCTGTTAACATCTCTGTTCTTACCTGGAGGAAACTTACTACTTTCAGGAAGCTTTTCATGTGAGTGAAAAGATAAAAAAGATGTGAGGCTGAAACCTTACACAGGAAGTTCAAGCTACAAGAAGGCTGCAAAAAAACCCCAAGCAGGTATTTTAATGGCCTCTGTGGTCAGTGGTTCTAGGACTATTGATTTTCAAGTCTCACTTAGGGCAGTAGGTTTGGAGAGTGATGAAGGAATTAATTGAGAGCCATTGATTGATTTCCAGATGACATCACATGGCTGCTGCTATAGATGATTAAAATAGACCAATTTGATTACTGTTTCAGTAAAATTCAAATAATAAGGAAATACACTGGGCAAAGTGTCTTCTCTAACATCAAGCATACAGGCCTACCTATTCGATGGTTAATTAAGGTGCATTTTGCCTAAGATTGTCCAGAATAGCACATCAAACTACTATGCTCTGCATGTCTTAAAGACCTTTATATCTAGTGCAATCAAACAATTGTACAACCAAACAAAAAATACTATGCTTATAACAAAGTTTAAAAATAATTTGGTGAAAAGTTAAAAATTAATTCACAACTGTCTTGTAGACATAGTTGAGAATTAAATACTTACATTCAACTGAATGTGCAGAAGCATAAACAGGCTGAAACTCCATCTCATATGGTAATTGTACAAATGCCGTAAAAACACGTATTACAGTCTTATATAGTGTTGCCTGCAGCTACTCTTGAAATAATTTTTAAGAGTCTTTCAAAGCCATCTGTACATAGGTGGAATATTTAAAGCACTTAGAGAAGCAAATGGCCATAAGAGAGGTTCTTACTTCAGAAATATATTCCCCGTAGGTCTCTCTAGACACAGTCAGCATTGGAAGGGATAGGCTTGGAACATGCTATACGCAACAAGACCTTCCAGTGGTAATGTGGATTTTAGTGAAACTTGGGGCCAGAAGGTTTCTCAACACTAACATAAAACAACTGGTCACAACAACAGCAGGAAAAGCAGGTACGTACACCAGTCAGTCCTAGGGTGCATGGACTTACTCAAAGCCGGGACTTGAAACCGGCTGTTCTGCTTCCCATGCAAGTCTAACTAATGAGCAGTTCTTTGGTAGGTGTACCTCTCATTTCTTCATGACAACATTGATAATCTTCTTATTAAAGTCTTCTTATTAAAACAATTTTTGAAACCTCAGCAGAAGTCCTCTTCATTCTGAAACAGTAAGTTTTGTCAAATTACTCTCAGAGTTTAGACAAAGACATATTTACATCATAGCATTTGGAAGGAATTTTAATAAGTCTGAAAATCTCTGTAGTCAGGAACATGCTCTCACAAATGCAAGAAAATGCATTTTTAGTCTGTTTATCAGAGGAGACATATTACCTGTAGCTTCTACCGATATCAGTACAGTGATTGAGTACCTGTTACCTCTAAACAGTATCAGCAAGCATTAGGTCTTAGCATGAAGCTGCATTGTTCTTTTTTATATTGTATATTGTTAGTATTCTTCATTGTATTAGGAAAATTACTTTTAGAGAGTTTAAAAGAAACCTAAGCTCAGCACCCATTCTGTTTTACAGTTAGATCTTGACCTTATAGAATACAAAATTATTCCCAAAAGACATAGAAATATTCCTTGACTAACTTTTAAGCCAAATAATCTTGTATCTTAAATAATAGTAGAGAAATTATAGCCAACATTTTATAAATATAAGCAGACTGAAGCCAAAGAAACACTTGGTCTTTTTTGCTATTTGTATAAATGCATTAACAATACAGGGTTTCTTTCACTACGCTCTATGTTATGATGTCAGTTTTCCTTTAGTTTGGTAAGTAAGCCATGATATCATAGCAAATTATGTCATAATACTAGTCAAGCTAGTGCCCACTCTTTGGTTGTATTCTGATACAGCTAACACTTCCTAATAAGAAACAGAAAATTTCATTTATCAAGCGATATAGTCACTGATTCCTTCAAGTCATTGACACAGTACAAGAAACACTTGGCATTTTCTCATTTCTGTCTAGCTAAGCAAGTCTAGTGTTGAACAACTAATTTCTGTTTTCTAGTAAAATGCAAGAAAACAGAGGATTGGGGATAATCCACTGTATTTGTTGATGTGTGCAATATAGAAACAAGGCAGGAAACCTGACTGCAGTCAAATTTATGATCAGCTTCATCTCTTTCTCAATGGGAATTCTAATTTTGCACAGGACTTCTAATTCTGGAGGGGCTTTTTCTACTGTCGGTTGTCATGATCCTTGTTAATTTTTACTATGAAGCATTAGCATCTATCTATTGAGCAACCTGATGTAGTTAAAGCTGTCCCTGCTCACTGCAGGGGGGTTGGGCTAGATGACCTCTAAAGGTCCCTTCCAACCCAAAGCATTCTATGATTCTATGATTCTATGATCAGCAGCATTAATTGCCATCATTGTTTCTTTCTCTTCTAACAGCCCCCAGTGATCCGTATTAAAAACACTAGCTCTCCTTCTGTTGGATACCATACACGCAGAGTCCCATGGAGTGAACTACTGCTTCCCCTGAACTCCAGAGCAAACTCTACTGACTTTATGGTATTTTCATCTCTTCCCCAGGAGTTACTGGGGGCAAAAGGTGATGAGCGAGGTGCATCACCCTTAGAGCTGACATGGGGAAAGGCAGCGCTGCCAGATCACCACTGCTCCATGCTTCTTCCCTGCCCTTGCTCACTGTATCTGCTCTCTCCTCTCACCTGGCAGCCCTTTGCAGCATCGCAGGTCTGCAGGATAATCCACCAACAGCACTACCTTTGTCTGACCTGTACTGGTATGTTACCTCCTAGCACTGCTGTCTCCCCTCTGTATTTCATTTTTCATAAGAGGCAGCGCTGTGCATTCAGTTTATAGATTCCTGGGTACTGATCATGAGTATTTCTCTGGCAGGGTTGAGTTTGATACATTGAGTTATGTCAAGGAGCGCTGAACTGTGTTGCATGGGGATTGTCCATACAGCTTTTTCAAAGGCTCTTTAATTATAATGGGGACACCTTGCTGTCCTTTCCAGCTGTCAAGCAGTTTGAAGCTACACGGTGTCCTTTGGTTGGACTGCCTGCTCTGGACATCAGTGTCTGGCAGTCTACAGAGTATAATTTTTCATCTATGTCAATCTTATTCTCTCTCCACTGTGGCAAATGAATCTTATTTTGGAATGATAGCAGGCAGGATTCTCCATAGTAACAGTTTATCTGTTGCCTTCTTGATGCTTTGCTAGATTTCTTTTCTCCCTAGTTCTTGTTTGGCATTGCATTTATTTTTCCTTAAAACTACTTTCAGTTTAGCTGATATAGTCACAGTACACATCGTGTACAAAAACTGTACAATCATATAGAAAATTCAAAATTAGAATAGTATTTCACAAAATAGCTGAGCTTTAGTGGATTTTCAATTCCAGTGTCTCAATATGTATTGTAGCCTGCTTCAAAAGGGAGGGTATTTATAGCTGTCACTACAGTGACTACTGACTACATTAAAAAAAAAACCCATACAGTTTATAAGGACAGCAATTTGGGTAATCTTTCTGTAAGGTGGCAAAATGTTA